AGCTGCTCAGCGCCGGGAGCCAGAGCCAGCCCACGCCAGCTCCCACCGAGGCAGTAACACACGTGGGTTCGGGGTGAAAATCACAACTCTGTGACAAGCTGCAGTTTGGCCCCAGCTACAGCAAGGCATCTCCACGTAATCCTCTGCTCTTCCCAGCTTCTGCAAGAGCAAAACCTCATGATAAACGGAGGCTTACCTTTGGATTCGATGACGTTGTTATCTCCCACCTTCATTGCTTGGGAATCTATGGGTCCACGTTAAAGAAAACTGTAAAATGTTTTACTTTTATATCAAAAGGTAAACGCCAACGCTGTTTTCGAACCAACCCTCAGCACCTTTAAATAGCCCTGGCCTGTTAAAATCCCAATGGAGCCCACATGCTTCTCTGTGGCCCGATCCGAAAGCACGGTGCATCAGGCGGCCCGTCGCACTTGGCAGCGAGGATACAACACCCAACTTCAAAAACGTTGTTGGTGCCAATGACCATTGGTTTGGGCTCCACCTCTTCGGTTTCTGGTGTAATATTTTCTGGATACCTGCAAGACGGGAGGATATATTTCAGGTTGTGAGATCACAAGGACATTGTCCTGTAGGGCAGCTCGGGAGGCTGAAGTCACGTATATCCCATCCGATCCAGCGAGACCGTCAGGGGTTTGAGACTCCTCGCTCTTGTACAGGGTCTCTCCTTCTCAGAATCGGGATCCTTCTCCTCTGTCAGCTGAAGAATGATTCACAGATGGAAAACTTCTTCCCTAGCCATAGTGCCACACAGGTACACAAAAGTTTGGGGTTTTTTTCTAAAAAAATTCTGCCTCTGCAGAGTTTTTAAGCTTCCAGCGAGACCGTCAGGGTTTTGAGACTCCTCGCTCTTGTACAGGGTCTCTCCTTCTCAGAATCGGGATCCTTCTCCTCTGTCAGCTGAAGAATGATTCACAGATGGAAAACTTCTTCCCTAGCCATAGTGCCACACAGGTACACAAAAGTTTGGGGTTTTTTTCTAAAAAAATTCTGCCTCTGCAGAGTTTTTAAGCTAATGCTCTACTCCTTAAAGAGCTCTAAGCATGAGTTCACGTCTGACAAGACCGAGACGGGACCTGTGTTGAGCTACCTCAGAAAACACCAACCCTCTGCAAAACCCACCCTGGGAACACCACTCCGAGATTCCAAACAAACCCTTTCTCCATCCAGCCTGGCTCTGAGGGACACCACTCCCCACAGAGCCGTGCTGGGAGGGTGAGAGGTGTTGGCTCCCCTGGAACGCGACGCTGGACTGGGGAATGACTCCCTGGGGGAACCCCGCGTGCACCGCCCGGCTTCTTACGGACCCATTGATGATGAGCGCCTGCTCCTCGATCAGGTTGCCTTCTCCGATGACGATCGGCCCC